AGTAGTATAAAAATACAACTGCGTGAAACACACAGTATTATAAAACTTTAACTGCGTGAAACACCCAGTAGTATGAAACTTCAACTGCGTGAAATACACAGCAGTATGAAAATTCGGCTGCGTGAAACACAAACTTCACGCATGCGTGGAGTGTATGGAGTGTACGGGAGTGATTCACGCAATGGTGCGAATAGTCGCGGCCAAATAAATTCTGTTAAATTCATGTCTCGATTCGTCCCAAATACTTATTTTACAAGTTACCAACCCTTATTCATGACAAATAAATCCCCCTACTAGCCTCCCTTACCATCAATCCGCGAATTAAACTCCCATTCCGTAAACTCATGAATTCAACGTCAACAATTAGGGCATTTACCCCAACTTATTAGGACAACTGAGTCATTTGTTGACATTAAACCGCCCCGTTTATTACAGCTAACGAAACACTAACAATACGTGAATTATTATCAGTGCATTCTCATTCCCCTTTCGTTGCTGATCTCACTTTCATCTTCACTCGGGCATTCTATTCGTTGAGTTGTTTCCGTCATCTGGGCAATTCGTCTGTTTATTTATCGCGCATACGTCATGTTGCAGCCACACTGGCTGTTCCACTCAATTTCTTCGATAGATACGACTCCAGGGATGAGTCTCTCGGGAATTTAATTCTTTTTCTCGTTCGAGAAGATGATCGCAGGGATCAAGATAATTTCGAGACGCAGATGATGGAGGCTTTGTCTCCATTGTTCGGACGGACAAAAATAACACGGGAATGTGGCTAGCATCAGCTGATTCATTCTCGTCCATTTGTTTTATTTCTTTCGATAATTCGAGGCGTTTCGGTTGGAAAATGTTCAGGATTTCTCTCTTGGATTAGAGTAGAGAATAGTTGGGCTCTCTGCAATGACGATGGATGATTCATTATCATTCTTATCAATAGCGACTGGCGAATATCAGCCGATTTATTGTTCTCGGTAGTTCGCCTTATTTTATCGGACGATTTATTATCATTCGGTTTGAAATAATTCAGGATGAATCGATGATAAATTGTCTTAATGACTTCAAGCCATTTTTTGTTTATTCTGTGCAATGATAGAATTAATTTTATTGAGACGATCGTGAAAGTGAATGGGTTTTATGCAGGTTTATGCATTTTTAATTTGCTTTTTTATGGAAGATTCATTGGATGGCATGCGGAGATGCAGCGAATTGGGATTGGAGATGGGGAGGCAAAAGAAGAGCAAAGAAATTATGAACTGGGCGCGTAAGAAGAGGCGCATGATACGGAGGGAGGATCTGCTGGCGTATCTGGCTGGAAAACCACCACCACCGAGGCCACACACTCACAGGTGAGGATTTATCCTACCATTTAATTTTTTTCATCAGTAATTTTCCTGCGCTGAGAGAAATTCTTTAGAAAAATTGGACTGCTGGTATTGGAAAGAATCGTCATTTACTAGCTATGAAAAATGTTAATGCTGTTGAGGATCTCCAAGTATCTTTTACACTTGTTACAGGCCACACTATAGATTTAACCATTTTTAATCATCAAATTTGTCAATTAAATTGCGTGAGAAAAAATTGAAAAAAAAATTAGCATCATTCAAATTACATTTTGCACAGATTTTTTTTTTTTAAAGATTGGTTAAATTTCTAGGGATTTCTGATGAAATTTCCGGGAATTTCTGTAAAAATTTCGCATACAAATGGAAAAAATTCACGTGCTACTCAATAAAATTTGCAGTGCCAGCACTGAAATTTTTTCTTGGCTTTTTCTAGGGAATTTCTGTCCGTGTGGGGATTTATTATTGGAGATGAAATGAATGAGATGAATTTATGTTTCAATATCGTTTTTTTTCGTGCAGGAGCTCACCGAAACCACGAATGATGGTCTGCGGCTCGCCACCCTCGCAAAGTCCAGCACCAAGCATGGTGGTTTCTCCAACACCACCACCAGCTGATCAAGATTCAGAGTTGCATACTTTCAGAGAAGCTATTGCCTTATCCGGTATTAATTTATTTCATGATCTAATTAATTAGGGATAGTTTTCTGTGAATATTTCGGGAATTGATAGATGCAAATTAATTTTTGATTTATGAACAAATTTTACTCAAATTATTCTGTGAATATTTGAAAAACTGAAGGGTTTAGGGTGAACATTTCAAACGTATTTTTTGAAGCTCCTGACATCTTTGTGGAAGACGTTTAAAGAAATTGTCCTAATATTCTTCTCTTTGCAGATTTCTGTATAAAAATTTGGAATTTAATTTTGCATTTATAAAAAAATTTATAAGAAGTATTCCACAAATACTTGAAAAACTACTTTTCCGAGGCCAAATATCATAACAACTCTTACAAATATCCTAAGAAGAAAAAGATTCTCTTAAAATTTTCCAAGGACTTCCTTTTCTTTCTTCCAATTATTCATGAATACATTTTAAAAATTATGCAAATTATTTTCCAAATGTCTCAAAATCTCTTCTAAAAATATTTATATAAATATCTTAAACTACCTTCTAAATCACCCAAATTATCTCGAAATTCCCTAAAAACTACTGATTAAAACCCGCCTCTTGATAATTCCTCAACCTTTTTTACTAAAGTATTCACAAGTGAAAATAATCTGCAGACCTGTTTTCAATTTTTTATCAACTTGAATAATCTACCAATCATTCTTAAAAGCAACAGAAAACCATTGCGACGCGAGACTGATGTTCTCACTCCTCCGATTGGGATTAACAAATTAATTATCCCAAAATATCCGCAGGTTCACAAATGTCTCGACGTACAGGAAGACAGTCTGAGCTATCAGCATTCATAAGTAGTGAATTTGCACGACACCATAAAAGACCAGCCTCGCACGACGTCGACATGGGCTCCCCCACGCACAAGCGTTCGCGTTTCATGTAACGAATCGTGTCATTGTTTTCACAAAGTAGAAGAAAAATCGAGAAAAAAAAGTACTAAGAAGCCCTGGGGTCTGTCTCCTCGTGTCCCTGCGAATCACTGGATACAATCCAGGAATTTGCAATCAAAACTGATTATACATCACGAGGAGAATGTCACTAGCAACTTCTGCCTGATTCTTTTAGCGAGTAACTAATTAAAATGTTATAAATCTGTAATAAAACAACAAAAAAATACCATAAAATCGTATCGAGAAGAAACTCAGTTGCCATTTAATTTCGTAAGGGATATCGAGAGGGCAATGTATGACGTCATTTGAATCAGAATTTTTCATTGAACAGTGACACATCAAACGCTATTAAACGCATACATATATAAACACTGGATGTATGTAAAATTAATCTCATAATGATATTATACATATCTACAGGCACATACTAGGGGCTGTTGAACGTCTGAGACCCAACAATTCAGTTTTTAAAATTGTATAAATAAACTAAATCAACACGCGTCTCAGACATATTCCACGTCCTCTATATGTTTATGTACATGTGTAAGTACGAAATTGAAAAGAATCTCGTGAATTTTATGATTAAATAATTCACGATTGAGTGTAATAATTCAAAATTGAATTGTTATTGAACGTTGAGTGCTGTGAGTTTCTAAAGTCGTGGACTGTTGGAATGAGTTTTCTCATATGTTAAAGATCAATTATATGTGTTTAAGAACTAAGAATTAGGGAATAAATGTTGAAAATACTCCTGTGTCCTCAATTTTTGGACAACATTAAAAAAAATGAATGACTTGTTTATTTAATTCAACCTCTAAATAGCCAATTTTGTTGTTGTTTTTGAATAAAAAAATTCACTATTCATGCAAAATAGTTAGTGAACGCATTCTGTAAAAAAAATCCACCTGATTATTTAAACAAAAACAAAATTGGTTGCTTGGAGATCAAAATTGAGAAGAGTAATTCGTAATTGTCATTCCGTACTGGAGGCGAACGAACGATAAAAAATTTTGTTGCACTCATTCTTTGTTTTTATACATATGTAATTAATGTGTGAAGGCTCGCTCCAATAGCCTGTGATTTTTAAAACCCATGACGGTCTCCCCTTAAAAAGAATCTCGTGGATTTTATGGTGAATAATTCACGATTGATGATTGTAATAATTCAAGATTGAATTATTATTGTACATTAAAATCGCAAAACGCACTGTGCCTCGTTTCGCTTATTGTTTGGGTCTCAAGATCGATAAGAAATAAGATAAACTGTGAATTAGTTAATTGAAAATGCCAGGCTGACTGATTACGCGGATCGTATTTTGCCTGGATCCTTGTTTTTTTTGTGTAATTTTTATTATTTTTTCTTATTGGGGTTTGAAAGTAAATTGAAATTTAATGGAAACGCAGGCGATACTTGGAATTTAGGATTCCTTCGTTAATATTTTCAGATGTCTTCAAGTGTCCCCTGCATTTGAGTTGTTTCATCGACAGAGACCCAGAGTAAATATCCCCCCAAAAATGGAAAGAAATGTGAGAAAAATCATTGAAAAATTGAAAAAAAAAAACACTTTTCTGGGAAGCAGTGAGTGTTGTTATTCGATTGTAAATATAGTGCTTATTAATCAAATAATTTTCGAAAGAAAAATAAACTGAGATACGTGAAAATTAACAATGACAATTCATTGCGAAGTTAATTAACGATTCAAGTAACTAATTAGGTTATTATGGTATACTATTAATTGATAGTTGGTAAATAATTAATGATAATTCATTGACTACTATTCGATAGCTTTAATCGTAATATATTTATAATGAAAAGGGAGAAACAAGTTTTCGGAAGTTTAATGTGGAAATTTGCGAGAGCATTCATTTCTCGGTTCTGATTCTAACAATCACTCATTATATTTTGTTTTGTTTTTTAAATTACAATGAAGTGGATGGAACGCTGCTGGAAAAAAACTGAAATTTCGTGGACAGGTGGCTAATAATTTTTGGGGAGGAAATTCAATTTGGTTTATGGGGAGGAAGTTATGAAATTTCAGATTTTACTGGAAATACGATGAATGGGTGAACTGAAATTTACAGTTTCCATTGATTTTCTCGTAAAATGTGCAATTTTAAATTACGAAAGTCTTTGAAATTTGAGCGGAACTCTAATGTGATAAAAATTTCCAAGTGTACGTGAAGTTTCAGTCAAAAATTTCCAACAGTGAATTATTCGATGGATTATGAATAGATTATTTATGATATTTGTTTTTATTGGAACAATTCATGTCAGCTGCGCGAGAGAAAGGAGAAGGTATTCAAATAAATCTTTTTCAATCGTCCATATCTTGAGACCCTTAGAGTGCAACTCAGCGATTTTTTCAATTTTAGAGGCATGTTTTCAGGCTTGAAAATGAGACCTGATCCATCCAAATTGTATCGTCTGGTCAGAAGATATTGGCGATTTAAAAAGTTCCTTCAACTTTTCCCAGAGGGATTGATGTCCTTTATATTTTATTTTCAAAAATGAAAATTCATTCGATTACTCGAAACCACACAGTGGATTCATCAAAGATGAAAATCGTTTAATCACCTCAGAAATTTTTATTCTTCAATGTTAATACACTGCGGAGAAAATTCATTTGAATACAAAAAATTGAATTGTTGAATTAGTTGTTTTAAATCTCCCTGCAATTACATGAGTAATCATCGGCAAATGGAGTAATTAGGAAAAATTTTCCATTGAGGAATGAGAAGAAAGGATAGATGCTGTGTATTTTTTAAGACTTTGTTGGCGATTTTTTTTATTAGATAAAATACTGCGAGTGTTTTTTTTTAGATTCAAATTGAATTTGTCTCTTTGTCCTCGAGCTTACACGTGCAGTGAAGCATGTGGGACTCGTTTTCCTACGGGTATACAACCAAATTCGTCTCTACATTCACAAAAAAGGGAGTGTAATCTCTCGATTGCGTTTGGATATTGAAAATATTCGAACGAATTGGAGGAATTTTTCGTCTACCTTAAACTATTATGTGTGAAAATTTTTTACAGATGTGGGAAAATTTCGTGGAGTTATCTTTTGAAGGGTTTAGGTATTTTCTACAGGAAATTTTTTCAATGTAAAATTTTTCGTACGGAAATTATCTCAATTCTTTGGGAATCGTCCTAGAAGGTCTTTTAAAATTTTCCATACGAGGTAACTCTTGATTATTCTCGGCAATCCAATTATTTACGCACGAAAAGTTACGTAGAAAAACCTAGCCAATTCGATGGAAAACGTTTTTTAATGGAAAAATTTTTAATAGAAAAAAATCAAAAGAATTTTATCTTTTTATGTAAAACATTTTCTCTAGGAATTCCTTGACATGAATTTTCCAATTTTTTTCATTCTTATTTTAACTTTTTTTTCATTAAAATGTGTTGTATAGAAAAATAGGCTTCTATTGATTTTTTAAATAGATTTTTTTTTGCTGAACGCTGAAAACGAATAGAAAGTTCAATAGAACTCCAATAGAATTCTCTCGGTTTTTCCATGAAATTTTTCTCACGTGTTTTATTTTTCAAGCCAAATGTTGGATTGATATGAAAACAAATGGATGAAGCCACGATGGTGCTGATTATTTTTGTTCTTCTCCATCGCCTAGAAGAAAGTATATATATTTTTTCGCTACAATAAACGAAGAAAGAAGAATACTAATGAAAAATACAATGAAAAGAAGAATTGAAGTGACAGATGAGATCGAAACGATGAAGAGTGTCTACATCGGATTGTCCTGAAGGATTGTGTGAGATAATTTGTAAAATCACTTTGTAAAATTTCTGTAAGAACATAAAGAACGAAAAAAAAGATGAAACAATGAATTTTATTTGCACGTAATGTTTAATCTGTTCCTCTCAATGTACATGTTCTGGGGTATTTGCACCTTTTGATTATTCACAATCTGCTGTCCTTCATGATGTTCTCAGAAGCACCGAGGGCCGTCTTTCTGTTGGCAATAGCATTTGTGAGCTTTCGTTTTGGGCCTAGGGGCAGTTTCAGAGCTGCTATATCAGCGTCTGTGAGGAGCATCAGGGCTTCCAGGTCGATTTGCTCTGCCTCCAGGCTGGATTGAATGGATGTTAGGTTGTTAGCTACTAGGAATCTTTGAAGGGGGCTCCATTCTTCGTCGGTTTCATCAGTCTCCTCTCCAGCTAGGGGACAATTTTTTTTTACTTTATTGGTCAACGAATTTCAAACCATTCCAGTCATTTCCAAGCACTTCAACAGTATTTTTTTCGTGGGAAAAGATTATCAGTCATCATTATTTAAACACTTTGATGACTGAATTTGATTGTTCATTTATAATTGTTCAAGAACATTCTAACAATTAGAAAAAAAATGTGTTTTATTCAAATAATCGCTCTTTTATTCATCAGGAGAAAATGTTTGAAAATAAATACGGTTCAAAAAAAAAAATAGAAAATTCTGACATTATTATTCAATGACTTTCAAATCATTTCATTCATTTCCAAACAGTTCCACAATATTTTTTTAGTTAAAAAAGATTATTAGTCAATTATTATTGAAATATTTTGACACATTTGATGTCTGAATTTGATTGTTCATTTCAATTGTTAAAGAATATTTCTAGAATTAGAACGAATTCAGACGAAATTATCATCAATTCGTAAACAATTTATTTATATTCAGAATGTTCCCAAAATGCAATTCCGTGATGAAGAAAAAAAAATTTTGGAAAATGTTTTATTTACGCGAAAAAACTGATTGACAAAAAAAAAATTTTTAAAACGTCATTTCAATGATGCAGAATACGTATAATTTTTTCGAATTCTTCTACGTAATTTAATAGAAGAAGTGATGACAAAAAATATATAAATTCACCTGATAATCTATCATCATCCCACATGCTTTGTCTCCTCGCGAGGCTCCCAGCGCTCCCAATACTTATTTCCTCGTTATGATGCCCATTGACACTCCCTCGTCGTCCATTAATCAACGCATCATTGCCATTGGAGTACCCTTTTGTATGTAATTTTGTCTTCACATCTACCTGGGAAATCGGTAGAGTGTCTAATGTTGCTGTAATCTGAAAATAGTCATCCGTTCATTTACTCATTCACCGCTTTACTCGTTTATTTATTACTATCAGCGAAGCTACTCTATAAATTAGAATTAAGGATGATTAATTATTGAGGTATTCCCTTATTTATTAATTTTAAAGATCGTAAAAACGTACATGAAATGAAAAAATTGAAGTGCTCGGGATTTGCCTCGAGTGGATATCGAATTGAGGAATGTCACGCATGAACAAATTCAGTAGAAAAACTTAGCGAGTTTTTTGCGCTGATTCTATGAGATATTCGATAGAAAAAAGTCAATAGATTTCGATTTTTCTAAATGAATATTCTCGGAATTTTTCCTATAAGAACACTTGGGCATGAAGTTTCTAAGTTTTTCTCATTCGGATTCTGCAATGCAAAACAAACAAAATATAGCGGAAAAAACTTGGAAAATCCATGCCTAATAGTTTTAATAGAATCGAAATCTCAAGAGAAAAACTCAAACAGAAAAATCGAAATCTTGACTTTTTCCTATCAAATATCTAATATAATTTGCCCAAAAAAATAGAATTTTAACGAGAATTCTCTACAATTTTACTAGAATCCCCACAGAATTTCTTGAGAATTCCAATAGAATTTTCTAGCGAATTCGCTAAAGTTTTCTATTGAATTTTAATACGTGATGTAAATAATGGTTGATAAAACCTAATTCGCATTATTTATTAATAGAATAAAATTATTTACATAATTTATCACTACTCTTTTATTATTTTTCATTATTCTTTGAATTGGAGATTGTAATGATGATTGTTAGACGCTCATCTACATTTATAATATTATCGAAGGGTGAATTACGATAATTACCGATCTCCTAAATGCCACAGAGCCGAATCCAGGTCTGTTGAATATACTAGCAGGCTCCTGAAGGAGCACTGCCTCCTCAACAACGTTCTTTAGAGACCCCCTCTCGTCCTCCTCCTCTTCTTCGTCGTAATCCCTGTCGCCGAGAAGGTCTGGAGTGCTCTGAGCTTTACTGAGAGTCCCCCAAACATCCGATATTCGACCCCTCTTGCCCATCTGTTGAGCCTGGGTCTCGTAAGTCCCTACGTACATCACTTCTGAGTCCCTCCGAAGCCCTGTCAGACTTCTCACCGATCTCTTTCCGTCGTTCTCAATCTAAAAATGCATTTCATTCATGATTTATTAAATTTCATGAGATCAGGATGACGAGTAAATTAAAAATCAAGAGGTAACGCACGAAAAAATTTAGTAGAAAATAAATATTGAAGAATTCTGCAGCTTTACTTTATTTTTTAAAATAAAATGTCTCATGGAAATTTTTTTGTAGAAAAAATCAGCAGAATTCTCTTCCATCCAGACAATTTCTTCGAAGAATTCCTCGGAATGAATTTTCTAAGTGTTTTTTTCTTCTTTTTTAGATTTTCATTTACAAAATCAAACGACAAAACTTGAAAAATTTGAGCCGAGGAATTTTTATAGAGAACATTTGAGTAGAATGGGTTGTATGGGAAAATCGAATTCCAAAAAAACAGGTTTTACAGATTATTACATTGTTCAGTAATTACATTTATAAACACTCATATGAGAAAATTGCCTTTAATTCTTACTTAAATTATCTAATTTGTTATGTTTGATTTTTGTAATGAAAAAAAAAACAAATGAAAAACCCAGGTTTCTGATGGAAATCATATTCCATTGAATTTTTCTATAGAATATTTTCTATAGAATTGACCAAAAACTAATAGAAAGTTCAATGGAAATCCAATAAAATGTTAATTATAAGTCATTCCACACCAGATGATTATTGATCATTAATTCTTCCGCAGAATAAAATATTTGCAAATCTAAATATGATTGAATGAATACTTCCCGAACGAATAATTTACCTCCACAACTCTGAAATCATCAACAGCCTTCCTAGCTTGAACTTTTCTCCCGACAGCACTACTGCCTCGTCTCCTGGTGGCTGTATTCGTGGAGATTGTGCCCACGATGTCACTGAAAGTTTGTGAGGGCTTCACTCTCCCCTTGAATGTTAAGATACTAGGCCTGTGGGGGAGAATGTTATTTTCGTTGATGGTCTCGATGTCCATCTTCGCCCTGTCCTTCAGCAGTTTCTTCTGCTCCTTCTCCGCCCTAATATCCGCCATCTTCTGTCTCTTCACGTACTCCTTTAGTCTAAAAAGCATTTTAGGAAAGGGTTGTTGAATGCTGCATCCCGAGAAATAACGCAGTTGAATCAAGCGAAAATTATAACGTTATTTGTTTTTTATGTTTTATTTTTTATGTAACGAAAAAAATTTTAAAAAGAGTGGAAATAACCTGAAAAATCATATCAAAGAATTCTTACAGAAAGTGTTTTAATAGAAAAGCTGTATAGAAAGAATACAATTTCCCCGTAGAAATTCGTATTGAAATTTTTAATTAAAAAACAATGCAATAAAGCTGCGGAATTCTTCAATAGAATCAACCAAAATGAAGCATTTCTGTGGATCAGGCTGACCAAAATGAAGCATTTCTGTGGGTCAAAAATCCAAATANTGGCGCCTCCGAGTGTTTCATTGGCCCCAGAATCGTCAGTAGATACAGATTCAACGTTCACCCGGCTAAAAAATTAGATTTTGGCGAATGTCGACTTTCCCCCTGGCAAAACGGAAAATCTGACCCTTTGAAAATCTGAAAAAAAAACTTTTTCATTTTTCACATTTTCCACATACTTTTGAGAGTTCTGAATAGCCCGTCGCTTAAATAGTTGGAATCAACGTTCACCCGGCTAAAAAATTCGATTTTGGCGAAAGTCGACTTTCCCCCTGGAAAAATCCAAGATCTGACACTTTGGCCCTCATGACCCTTTAACCGACTTTCCCCCTGAAGAAATTCAAGATCTGACACTTTGGCCCCCGGTGAAAACTTTTTTTTTTCAGTTTTCACTTTTTCCATATACTTTTGAGAGTTCTAGATAGCCCGTCGCTTAAATAGTTGGACTCAACGTTCACCCGGCTAAAAAATTCGATTTTGGCGAAAGTCGACTTTCCCCCTGGAAAAATCCAAGATCTGACACTTTGGCCCTCGTGACCCTTGTGACCCTTCGACCGACTTTCCCCCTGAAAAAATCCAAGATCTGACCCCTTTGGGTCCGGGTGAAAAATTTTTTTTTTCAGTTTTCACTTTTTCCACATACTTTTGAGAGTTCTGAATAGCCCGTCGCTTAAATAGTTGGAATCAACGTTCACCCGGCTAAAAAAATCGATTTTGGCGGAATTCGACTTTCCCCCTGGCAAAACGGAAAATCTGACCCGTTGAAAATCTGAAAAAAAAACCTTTTTCAGTTTTCACTTTTTCCACATACTTTTGAGAGTTCTGAATAGCCCGTCGCTTAAATAGTTGGAATCAACGTTCACCCGGCTAAAAAATTCGATTTTGGTGAAAGTCGACTTTCCCCCTGGAAAAATCCAAGATCTGACACTTTGGCCCTCGTGACCCTTGTGACCCTTCGACCGACTTTCCCCCTGAAAAAATCCAAGATCTGACCCCTTTGGGTCCGGGTGAAAAATTTTTTTTTTCAGTTTTCACTTTTTCCACATACTTTTGAGAGTTCTGAATAGCCCGTCGCTTAAATAGTTGGAATCAACGTTCACCCGGCTAAAAAATTCGATTTTGGTGAAAGTCGACTTTCCCCCTGGAAAAATCCAAGATCTGACACTTTGGCCCTCATGACCCTTTAACCGACTTTCCCCCTGAAGAAATTCAAGATCTGACACTTTGGCCCCCGGTGAAAACTTTTTTTTTTTTCAGTTTTCACTTTTTCCACATACTTTTGAGAGTTCTGAATAGCCCGTCGCTTAAATAGTTGGAATCAACGCTCACCCGGCTAAAAAATTCGATTTCGGCGAAAGTCGGCTTTCCCCTGGCAAAACGGAAAATTTGACCCTTTGAAAATCTGAAAAAACAAAAATTTTCAGTTTTCACTTTTTCCACATACTTTTGAGAGTTCTGAATAGCCCGTCGCTTAAATAGTTGGAATCAACGCTCACCCGGCTAAAAAATTCGATTTCGGCGAAAGTCGGCTTTCCCCTGGCAAAACGGAAAATTTGACCCTTTGAAAATCTGAAAAAACAAAAATTTTCAGTTTTCACTTTTTCCACATACTTTTGAGAGTTCTGAATAGCCCGTCTCTCAAACCATTGGAGTCAGTGTTCACCCGGCTAAAAAATTCGATTTTGGCAAAAGTCGACTTTCCTCTTGGAAAAATCCAAGATCTGATACTTTGGGATGAAATGATAAGACAATGTTGGAATTATTACCGTTTCTCAGCATCTTTCTCTGCTTTCTCCCTCATCAGTTTACTCTTCTTCCTGTTTGTCGCCTCCTGTTCGGCTTGAGCAATGTCCAGAAATTGGAGAATACTCTCCCGTCCATTTATCGCAGCTAATTCTCGCGCAGAATGCCTATCGATGTCCAATGCCCATATGTTACACCCAAATTTAACTAAGAATTTAACGCAAAACTCGTGACCTCGCGCCGCCGATAGATGCAGAGCGGTGTTTCCGAAGTAATCTGTTTTGTCTGGATCTCCTCTGAGGAAATTAGTATGCAATTAATCAAATCAGTTAATTAAAGAAATTAAATCGATATTTTATTTTCAACAAAAAAAATCATTTCGGCTACAATTTGCCTTTTATTTTCATTTTTATAAATCCGATAAGAACCCGTGTGTCAGAAAAAATTTGTTCATTTTATTTCGTCAAAGCTACTGCAAGTAGTTTTTCCTAATCATTAGAAATATTGGTTTCATATATTCCCTAATCAGTCTCATAAATTACAGAATTTTTCCTGAACACAAAAAAATTTATTCTCCTAAAAATAGATGAATATTTATTTTTTTTTAAATCTTTTAAAAATTCTTCTATAAGATACATTTCTTTGGGATTCCTTCCATCCAATTAAAAAATGAGTGTTTTTAACTAAAGTTTCTATAAATGAATTCTTCACAGTAGAAACAAGTATTCTTCTTTCCTTCTGCATTTGACTAGAACAAGAAACATGAATTCTCAAATTCCCCAATTATTCAGGTAAAAAAAAGAAAATTCTAAAGAATAAAGCAATTCTATTCCGATCCAAATACGCAGACCTCGCGAAAATCGCAATTTTTCCTGTTTCGCAGGGAAAACAGGCCGCCTTTTCCCGCGCATGAAAAAAAATTGGTGATGTGCAGATTATGGCAATGTCTATTCACACGCTTCACGGTAATTTTGACCGCAGATATGTGGGAGATTGTGAACCCTCAACTTTTACTTCTCAAATTAAATCTAGACAATAAACTAGACACATCGAATCAATTGATAAGTCATATGCGGATAGTTGACTAAATAGCTTTCTCAAAATATTAATTCGTTGAATACGAATATCAGTCTAGATTAACGCAAATAAAAAATGAAATAAATAGTTGACAAATAGTTGACTAAACGCAAATAAAAGATGAAATACATAATTTTTTACATTTTATGTGAACGTTTTTTCAACAATATTCATATTTATCTAATGGGGTCCGAGTGCAGGAGTGGGTGCCGAAATATAGTGCAAATGATTTTTCTGTACTGCTTCTCACGATTTCTCGTCTGGGAATTGGTATTACATACTTCCCAAACTCGAAAACTTGAAAATCACTACAGAAAAATATTGTTCCTGGGCTGTTGCGATGGGGTTTTTTTACTCGTGTGGTTGGCCACTTCGAGCCGTAGGCTCGGCTCGGCGTAGCCGTAGGCTCGGAGTGGCCAACCACACGAGTAAAAAACCCCATCGCGACAGGCTCGGAAATAGTATATTTCGTAACGAGTGCAAAAAACATTTTTTCATCACGCTGTGACGAAAAGTGAACTTTTCGGCACGCGCCGCGTGCCTAAAAGTCCTATTTCCCCCACGTTGTGATGAAAAATATTGTTCGTAACTCGTGAAAAAATGTTTTTTAGCTCGTGAGCCTTCGGCTCGTGATATAAACCTCCCACTCGCCAAAAAACACTTTTTTGCACTCGTTATGAAAAATAAACGTTACGAAATATTGTTCGTAACTCGTGAATTACCCATTCATTCAATTATTTTGTAATTGAATGAATGGGTAATTCACGAGTTACGAACAATATTTTTCATTACAATGTGCCGGAACGCTCCGCGTGCCTAAAAGTCCACTTTTCGTCACAGCGTGATGAAATAGTATATTTCGTAACGAGTGCAAAAAAGTGTTTTTTGGCGAGTGAGAGGTTTCGAGCGGAAATTCTAAGAGAAGGAAAATTCTAAGAGAATTAGAATTTAGAGAGAAAAAATTTCCGCTTCACCCAGCCGGGAATCGAACCCGGGTCTCCCAGATACGCGCCGGGCACTCTTACCGACTAAGCTACCGGGAACCACAGAAATTCACTCTCAAATTCATCTCATACACCGCCTAACCTCCTTTAGGCATTAAAGAATTCTAAGAGAATTAGAATTTAGAGAGAAAAAATTTCCGCTTCAAAAAACCTCGAAAACCACGAGCCACGAGCTCACAATGTGCCGGAAATTGGACTTTTAGGCAGGCGGAGCGTGCCGAAAAGTTCACTTTTCGTCACAGCGTGATGAAAAATACTATTAAGGGTGATTTCCCAACCGGGGGAGACTCCTAGACCCCACCGGTGAGTGAGAATCTACCGTGAATCCACGGTAAAATTTACCGTGGAGCGTGCGAATAGACACTGCCGCAGATTATAGAAAGCGTTGGATAACACCCGTTCGTTCTGGCTTCCGATTCATAACACGCATTTAAACCGAGTGAGCATCACAGCGGGGGCTGAGGAGTAAAGGGAGAGGAGCACTCCTCAGAGGTGTACTCCAACACCATCACTTCCCATTCCGGTACGTTCCGTTTCGTTACGTGCGCTCCGGTTTTTGTTTCGTGCACGCTCGATTGTCTTTAAAAACTTTTGCGCCCCCTCCCCACACCCGCCACCGCGGCATTTCCCGTCGATTGCGAAGGGGTGGGGGGCGCTAATTTCCTATATGCTTGGACGTGGAGTTGATGTAGTGAATGGGGGAAAACACATGTGCGTTCGGTTTATTCGATTTTTTTTCGCCTCTTTGCGGGGGCTGGTGCCCACATCCGGTCTGCGGGGGCCACCTGTCGTTTCGTACGATCGATATTGGTACCTGTCTCAATGCCTCGGGGGTTCGGAAATTGTCAGTTAGTCCGGATGTCTAGCAGTATAATTTTTTTTAATGTAAAGTAGGGAAAAAGTTTGGGTGACCAGTCATCTATAATTTTGTATTGTGAATTTTTTAGTTGCAATCGTAGAAATCAATTGAAATTTCATGCAGAATTTTGTTCTAATTTTCTGGAGAGCGACACTGAATTTGATTTATAGAAAGGAAAATTTGGGGAATTGGATTTTTTTGGGATTTTAATGAAATTCAGAATTTTTGAGCAGCAGAAAGACGAGGACTTTACATTTTACATTTTACATTAATTGGCAATTACATGTGAATATTTAGTACCGAATTACGCTGATTTTTCAATTAGTTCAAAATTTAAGAAAATCTTTTCTTGAATTTTTCTGATTTCGATCAATTTTCATGGAGTAATCGAATTAAAATTCAGTTTTAATTGTTTTTTTCTTCATATTGTGAATTGTTAATTGCGGAGTTTTGAAATTTCGAAAATTGCAGGCAAAAATTATTATATCGATGAATTGTCAGAGATGAGTAGGAAAAATCGCGTACATGATCTGCATCATTCAATTTACATTTTGCAACTAGTCAGAGCAACTAGTCTTTCCGCAAAGCTTGTGGAACCATTATTATTCTGTAATGGAATGAATGGGTAATGGAACGCCTCAATTCTCAATAATGACTATTTTATAATAAATTCTCTTCGAATAGGAGACTTTCTCAAGCTTGTCCCGATTTAAAAAATGTTTTCCTCCAGTTCTAGATGTGAAATAGAGTTTAAAATATGAAAATTTTAATAATAAATTAGTATTAACGTCGATTTTACGCCAAAACTTAATCTTTCCGGAAGTCTGAACGATTTGAATTGTTTATCCACAAGAAACTAATATTAAGAAACAAACTACTTTTTGGAAAATGTAATTCGAATGACGCCTATTACTGATAAATCGCAGTTACCGATGTCAATTTTTTTCCATGCAATTGAATACACTGAGAGAACAAAATACCTCTGCCAAAAATCGACATATTCCACGTGAGAATATTCGATGGAGTGGAACAGATTTACTCGAGGGAAATTAACCAACTTGATAGAAGGAAATTTAATATCTTTCACAAAAATTAAATTTTTGTCGTGATCATCAGAAATATCCCTAGAAGAATTCGAACTGTTGGCAGGAAGAAATATAATCTATTGTACGACAATCATTTGATCTGAGAGAACTTCATAGGTTTATACCACAGAAAGAATACATTGACGAGGAAAGAATATTTTTATCCCAAAAAAAATTGTCCCCTCGGAATTATTTAGTTATGGCAATAACACAGTTATTGGCAAGAAAATTGTAGTTTCCTCCTGAAATTATCATTCGTTCCATGGAAATGATAAGTGTTTATTGGACAAAGCTATACACTACTCAATGACATTCACTTGATAAAACCGGAGCCTCATATAATTCGCTGTAGAACGAATGTATTTACTCAAAGACAAATGAATGTTTCACGAGAACAATTACTACTATGAAAATTATCACGTTTTGGCGGAAACTTTCTTTTTGTTCACAAGTAAATTGATTCAACACGGCAAAAGATCTCTTCCGTGGAAAATATAGTTCTTCGGCAGATCTAATTTTTTTCTCCGGGTGATGACAAATCAGATGATTAAAAATGGGAGAATCCAGGAAAATTTCCGATTATGAAATCATCAAATAGAAAAAATATTCTCTAGAAAAATCCCCTTTGTGCATGAATGCGTGCCAACCGCCATGTCAATTAACTTCAGAAGAAATTGCCATTGTTATTTCCTGAGGCAATTGTGTCATTGTCACTGACCACTCAGATTAGATGTTTTGGTCGGGAGTTCGACGACGCGTGACACCAACGAAATCCGCATTCATTCCATGGAGGCAAAGTCGATGGGGAAATAATCGGGACTGATAATGTAACCATCGTAGTCAGCTGAGAGGAATTGGACGGGTAAACAAAAGTCAGAGTATTTGGTCGTGAGGAATAGGAAGTTGCGGACATAATTGATGAATGAATGCTTCAACTGAGAGGGATAATACTAGAGTTTACCTTGAAAATATTGTCAATGGCGAAGATGAATGTTTTGCTTCAAAATATTCAGTATTTACTTAAACAAAGCGAGTGATGAAATGATTATTCCAGAATTACTCGCGATATTCGCAATATTTCTCATCTTTCAATTAGACATTGCAGAAATTCAGAAAATTGAGAGTCAAGTCAGGAATGTCCTGAAAACGTCTACAAATTACATTCCGAGCGAAAAGATTTCATACGAAAACTTGGCAAATTCGGTAGAAAATTCTATTGAATTTCTATTCTATTCTATTGAAAAATTCCACAGCTTATCTGCGCGTTATCCTATTTACTAGAAATGTTAAAAAAAAATTTTCCTATTATAAAAATTAATAGAACTCGATTTTTCTATACAACTTATTCTATTGAAACAATTTCTTTAGGAATTACTCTACTCGATTTTTCCAATTTTTTCTGTTTGATTTTTCAAATGAAAAGAAAAGAAAGATTGAGTGGAAATGCACTTAAAAAATGGCTGCGTTATTCTTCAATAGAATTAACCAAAAATCCAATAGAATTTTCCATCAAATTTGCAAGGTTTTCCTACAAAATCATTTCGTGCGTGTAAAAAGGAAGAAGTAATCACTAAACAATTCCGTCACAACCGTAAAATCATGAAAACTGAATGAAAAAATTTGCATGAATGAATTTACCCAATGCCACAAGGTATTGATCACCGAAACACAAATGACAGAAACACATTTCCCCTCACAATTTTGTTAAAGCGAATCGTTTCGTCAGTGCAAAAAAAAAACTCACGATGACTGAATGAACGAGGGAAATTCATACTGCGGTTAAAACTGCAGTGTCAGCTGGTCCGTAGAACAATTTATCCAGTTTATACACCAGACATACATGCTTTTGCGTTGGCATTCGCTGAATGAGTGAAAACCGCGGGCATGATATTTTTCGATGACAACAAAAGAACGCCCCGGAACCTCATCGGGGACAGCGTCATCACGGATGAGGGAGTTGGATGGTGGAACCGTACAGCTAGTGCAACTTTTGACTTTTTCTTTCTACTTTAGTTGGCTTTTCCTCATTAAAGTGACAATTCCGCAGGCCTTCCTGATATTCATCACGAGATGTTCAGGTTTCTTCATTAAATCGTTAAGACAATCTTGGGGTGTTTGCTTTATAAGAAATATGAGTTGAAGAATACTTATTTTCCATTATTTCCAACAGCAATTGAGTTTATCACTTATTGACACCATCGGTGATCAGTTCCCAGACGATTTATTGGATTAAAAATAAGATTGATAAGTATCGTCAAGGTTGGAATACATTCGTAACCGATTGTCTCTGGGTTTTCAGGTCAATTATGTTTCCATTGTTACGTAATTTCTATTTATTATTTATATTCTCGTTAATTTCGAAAACAACGAAGTGCAACTGCAGTACTATTTTTATTTCAAAGAATGCAGCAGTTTTTACGTGTCAATACCTCATTTCGATTATTTTTTCATGTTTATTATTTGCAGTTTGATAGAATTTATGATATGAAAAGTAGAAATAGTCGTCATGAAAAAAATTGTGTAGATTCACAATTTAAAATGTCAGAAAATGAGGATTTCATTCGTAATATTTTTATTCACTAGACTAGGGGGCTTCGCCCCCTGCTCCCTTCGCTCGCTAAAGCCGGGTGGGACTCGCCCCCTCACTCGCTTCGCTCGCTCCCCCCCCCCCCNACTCAACCATCCATTTCTCCATTTATTTTCGAAGAATGAGGTACACTCTTGTTATTATGTTTTAAGGATTTGACTTCCATACAATCTTTTACCCCTATATGACCCCACATAAACCGATAGAGATATGAACATATCAGAGGGATAGAGTTAATAATTTATTCTCAATGACATCATCAGGGTCAGAATCAGGGGCGTTTCCTAAATTCGCTAATTTCCTTATTCTTTTCTCTCAATGAAATAAAAAAATAATAAGGTTTAAAAATTCAGGAGGCGCCCCTGATTCTGATCCTCATCGATCACCCTCTACGAGCACTCGATCACTCTATCTCTCCAATATGTTCATATCTTTACAGGTTCATACAGCGTCATATAGGGATCAAGTCCTTAAAAAATAATAATAAGAGTATATCTCATACTATTCTACGTAAATCAACGAATGGTTAAGTTTTACAACAGAAGGCTTTGGTGGGAAATAATCATCATCTCAATGTTTTAAACGAGGTAAGTCATTCTATCAATTTTTTATATAACACGAACACCTAAACATACCCAAGAAGATTGGGGGGGGGGGGCGAGCGAAGCGAGCGAAGGAGGGCGCAGCCCCCTGGGGGTTTGTGAGNCGAAGCGAGCAGGGGGCGTAGCCTATTATATCGAGAAATATTTTGACTCATTAGAAATGATTTTCCATTTACTGATAAACGAATCTTGATATTCACCCCCTAAACAGAACACAGCGAGAATAATGCAACCGTTGTCTCCCGGACGTTTCAGGTCAAAATATTCGACTCGGGAGTGCACGATCGGAATGTTTCGTCGTGCATTGTCCTACACCTTTCCCCAGAGATGCCCTAACACTCGCCTTTAAACAATACTATAAAAATACAAACCCCCTGGCGACAAGCAGTCTCAGTGCATCCACATGGCCTTCAAAGGCTGCCCACAGTGTTGGGGTCATTCCACCGTCATCTCGAGTATTGGCATCCTTTTTAGTCGTCTCTTTCAGTATCTCCAGAGCCCCGTCCCTAGCAGCTCTGCAAATAATTTCCATTTGGTTACCTGCATTCCTCTCACAATTTCAATATTTCTACATTTTTATGAATGAACGAGTTTTCATCCTCACAATTTCTACTCATTATCCTTCTACTTTTTGCAGTTGTGTCGAATAAAATGGAGCATTTCACTGATTTTTTCTGCTCTAATTCGATCTCTTCAGACATTTCTGTCGTAAAAAAAACATTCCTGTCAACCTGCCGAATGCGGTAAAATGATAATCATCTTAATTGGACATGAAAATGACGAGCGAATGACCGCCGACACGTTATTCTCGTCCTTTCGGGTCTGCACAGTTCTCTCTCACCTAAACATGGAGTAATTGCTCATTTTCTCTTTTCGAAATTAAACAAATAAGGCGACTTGCGCCGGTGGTTCACTCTCTTCAGTGAATATGACCGAGAAATCGAATGCCGATACTTTCTGCGTTCTCGATCGATCGGCTGATTAGCCCGTGATAAGCTATCAGAAAGACCCAGATACCCCGGTTTTTTATGAAATCTCCATTTCCCGGACTGGCGAGGGCTTTTTCGCGCGATAAACAACGATATCGCGGTGACGCAAAGATTGCTATCGTCTTTCGAATGAAGCAATTTGATTCACTTCGTAAATTTGTTAACAGTAAATCGCGATTAATTCATCAAGTCCGTGCTCTTATTCTCGCCGTAATCCACTGAGCATTTGGTATTATTCATGAAGGGCGATTGCGGGGGCGTGCTGACACAAATTAAGCCTCAACTTACTTGTGAAATCTCTCCGACGACATCCTATCTGCACTCTCCAGTGACCAATAATTACTCGGAAGAATGAAACATGGAAATTGGCTCAAGAGAACATTAATAACAATTAAACTCAACAAAACTTGCTCGGAACTGTCGGTTCGAGTGATGAGTAGACTTGAAGTGTAGTTTTTAATCGCGGAATTTTACCGGTTCGCGAAATCAGTTGTCCAGTGGAATGAGATTGTTAGGAAAGTAAGGGAGGTGTGGTATAGCGACCGGTGTAGCACTAAAACGCAACTGAACCGTCGATGCCGCAAGCGTTCTTCGCCTCTGTGCTCACCTTGGCTATCTTTCTCCCCCTCTACCGCGGCAGAGAATGGTTTTGCCTTTTTTTCAGCCAATTTCCCCTCTGTTTGCACCTGTTGTTGGACTGGTTGAGCGTTCTTGGAATGAGTCTGTTTTATCCACTGAATGAGGGAATTGTTGTCACTGTTTGTCGAAAAGTTTTATCGATTAATTGATTTTTTTGTAATTTCTAATTGATTCCTTCATGATTACTTCCTCAATCCTGAAAATCACTCGGGAGAAGCGAGAACTTTTACTTTTATTTCATGAAATGCAGTCGAATATTTGTTTAATTTCAATTTTTATTTGAGTAAATTTCTTTTTTGTTATTTTATTTTGTAAGAGTTGCTAATGATTTTGCTGTCCGGTTGAGGCAATAAAAAATTATGAAGAAAGATTGCTTGATGTTATTCATTAATACGTGGGTTTTGTTAATTATTCGTTTATTGATGTCACTACAATGAATGGGGAGAATTGTTGTCTTTATTATTCAAAAAGTTTCATCGGTTAATTGATTTTTTTCAATTTTTGATTGATTTCTTCGGGAGAAGCGAGAACTTTTAATTTTATTTCATAAAATGCAGTCGAATATTTGTTTGATTTTACTTTTAATTTGATTAAATTTCTTTTTTGTTATTTTCTGTTATAAAGAGTTACTGATGATTTTGCTGTCGGGTTGAGGCAGTAAAAAAATGATGAAAAAAGATTGTTTGATGTTATTCATAAATTCGTGGGTCATGTCATTACAATGAATGGGGGAATTGTCGTCATTATTATTCGAAGTTTTATCGATGAATTGATTAATTTTCTTTTCATTTCTGGGGAAAAATGATAGCGTCAGTTTATCATTGTGATGAGGACGACAATAGGGTTGCGGGTGATTAAAAAGATTGTTTGAATAATGATAATTGCTTCCTCAACCTTCACAAGTACTTGGAAGAATTCTGAACTCTTGAGTTTATTTTATCGAATGCAGTCTAATATTAATTCAATTTTTTCACTCGTTTACATTTACTTTTTGTTGTTTTATTTACCAACAGTTGTTAATGATCTCGATGACGCGTTAAGTTAATAACAAAATAATGAATAATGATGGTTTGATGTTAATAATTAATTCTCCGTCTTATTTTTTCTTATAATTTGTTAAAATTTTCCTTTTTGTTATTTTCTTTTAAAACAATTCCTGATGACATCGATGTCGAGTTGAGGTAATCAAACAATGATGAAGAATGATCGTTTGATATTATTCATTAACTCCTGGTTTTTGTTAATCATTTGTTTATTGATATGTCACAACAATGAACATGCAAAGGATATTCTGATTACAATTCGGGTATTTCACAACAAACTATCGTTTTACATATCTTCAGTGATAATTGAGTATACCAATTATTGACATCATCGATGATACATTCCCAGACGATTTACTGGATTAAAAATAGGATTAACAAGGGTCGTCAAGGTTGGAATACATTCGTAACCGATTGTTTCTGGTTTTCAGGTCGATTACTATAACGAACAAACGTATACATCACAGCTCGATTATGTTTTCTCTGTTACTTAGTATCTATTTATCATTTATATTCTCCCTTATCTCTAAAACAACGAAGTACAACATGTAGTACTATTTTTCATTCAAAGAGTACAACAATTCTTGCGTATTTATACCACATTTCGGTTATCTTTTTTCACTGTTATCAGTTGAAATTTGTTGTCCATGGAGAGTACAAACTGGATAGATTTACATTTATGATATGAAAAGTCGGATCAGTTATGATTAAAAAAAGTGTAGATTCCAACAATAGCTTTTACTTAAAAAATGTGGATCGACTCCACAATTTTCGATGATTGTACAGCACGGCTCAATATTCAATATTTCAACAGTTGTCGCATCACCACAGGGTACAAAAATATATTTACACGGCTAAAACCAGAGTACGATAGAAATGTTTTGTTACACTAGAGTTGTACATTGTCTCACTTCTTTCTCTAGAGATGCCCTAACATTAGTGTTTAAACCTTGAAAATTTTCCTATTCATTCTCGAGGCCGTCAGACACGGATTGATGAGTTGACTAGTTTATGAAAAAATCGTCGTACCCGGAGATTCATGTGAAGACCCTGGAAGTCCGGATGTAACTCTAGAGATATTTAATGATAACCAATCAATACTCTCAGCTAATTCGCGTGGATCTGAACTTGACTATTTCGCAGGTACAAAATATACATCTGATAGTAATTCAACAATGTCGGCAACTGAAACGATTTTTCCATTTTTTTATGTAATGTAATGATGATAATTATTTCGGAGAATTCGGACATTTTTAGAGGAGTTTTTTCTTGAAAATCCTTGGTAACTTCGGTAGATAAACATCAGAGTTTCAATTTAACTATAGATTATCAAACATTTCGCAATGACTCTGTTATTTAAACGTTAAAGATTTGAATTTAATTGAAATAACCTTCGGATCTAAATTTCAATGGTCACCGAACGTGAACCTGCGAGTCTGGTCACCTCCGCGGGGATTCCCCGCCGTGTTATTTAGGGTCCAGCGTTGCCGAATTCACTCTGCACTGCCGGGCGCGTTTAGCGAGTTTCCGGCAACGCCGCGGGATGGGTTAATTTAAATTAAAACGGAAAAAAATAATTCGTCTGTTGAAAATAATTTGTTTTTTTTTCAAGAATTTCGTGAAATATGTTGTTCCAGAAACTATTGTAATTCTTTAGACACTTCAATTGACAAAGTCAATTTTTTTTTAATTTTTCCGGTTTGCCAGTTAATTGTAATTAATGAAAAACGACGCGAGGGGTTTCCCTCATATGGTGACCAATCTAGGATTAACTTTGGGAAAATGTAATTTGAATTCGCGTGAGAAAAATTTTTGTATTCAGTATTATCTGAATAAGATTCAAGTGTGTAAATATGTAAATGTAAATAAATGAGATAAATTTCTAAATGAGATAAATAATGGAAATTATTTTGTATTCAATCAAATAATGCTGAAAATGCTTTCTACCATTTTGGAATAGAAAATAAAAATAAAAAAATTCTGAATAATAAAATCATTGGCAAATATCTGATAATCTAGTCTATTTATTATCCCAGATGAAAACTCTAAGAACAACTTCATTCATTTTTCACACAGAAGTTAAGACATTCCTCGGCATTGGGAGAAAAAATTAGTTCTGCCGAAAAATTATATGTTCCTCTGAAGAGACCTTTTGTCGTGTTACATCAATTTACTTGTGGACAAAAAAGAAAGTTTCCACGAAAACATGATAATTTTCGTAGTAGTAATTGCTCTCGTGAGAAATTTACATGTCGTTCGAGTAAATACATTCGTCATACAGAGAATTATATGAGGCTCCGGTTTTATCAAGTGAATGTTATTGAGTACAGTATATCTTTGTCCAATAAACACTTATAATTTCCACGGAACAAATGACAATTTCAAGAGGAAACTACAATTTTATTGCCGATAACTGTGTTATTGGCAACACTAAATAATCCCGAGGGGACAATTTTTTTGGGAAAAAAATATTCTTTCCTCGTCAATGTATTCATTCTATGGTATAAACCTACGAAGTTCTCTCACAGATCAAATGATTGTCGTACAATAGATTATATTTTTTCCTCCCAACAGTTCGAATTCTTCTAGGGATATTTGCTGATGAACACGACAAAAATTCAATTTTTGTGAAAGCTATCAAATTTTCTTCTATCAAGTTGGTTAATTTCCCTCAATTAAATCTGTTCCACTCCATCAAATATTCTCGCGTGGAGCATATTGTTTTCTTACATAAAATGGCAACTTTCGTTGAAAAAACCCCTCTAAAAATCTTCGAAACATCAGGATGCCTCAAAAATCGAATTTCCCCGTAGGCCAGAGCATGCACAATGCACCTCCCGACCCCATTTCCTGAACGGCCATGTGAATGACATCCGCTCCTTCCATTATCCAATTGAAAGAGTGCCCCATCATGTCACCTTCATCCGTCTCCTCCCGTCACCAAACCGAAAGACTATTGTCCCCCGTCTTCTGCGTATGGCAGTTTGAGCTTCACCCACAAATGGTGAAAGACAAAATGAAAGAGAACAATTGAGAGATAACAAACAATCCGTCAAAAAATCGAACATTCGTTCTTAAAAATTGATTGTCCCATCACAAAAACGCAATTCGTGACGTTGGATATAGCTGGCACTGGAAAATTCTCCCCAGAAAATGTCATCAGAGTCGTTTCACGAGTGGACTCATTATCACGAGTGCCTTCAATTCACATTTATCCGCATTCGAAACCTGGAAATGACATTTTCCCCCTCGAGATAAATTTACACTCGCTTTTACTGAATAATGCACATCATCCGCGATTCATCTCTTGATAGCTGTGATGATTTCACTCGTCTGTTTCTCTAGTTTTCATTTCAAAAATCTCCTTCACGTGTTTTTTTTCAACACCGACTTTCAAGATCCCCCAGCCCATCTTGGGGCGTATTAAAGAGGAGTATCACTTGTCGGTGCTTCAACTTCGTTTGACATCGCTTCAAATAGCATTCAATGTAGTTCCGTTGGAAGGAACCCCTCGCTTTTTTTAATTGTCGACCCGATCAATTGATAAATCTGGTTGGCTGAATCATAAAAACGAGACGTTTGATAGACAAGACACTTTCATAATGTCTTGAAGTGCAAGTCACCAAATTTAAGACATTTTTTTCTGTCTCAATTCAAGACACTTGAGGACTATTCAGTCATTAGTCATTTATGACGGCAGAACTACAAGATATTAATCCCATTAAGACCTGGAATCATAAGATGTTTAGTGAGTTATCTATCTTCTTTAAATTTATTGACGTTCTGAATTTACTGGGAGGGTTGGAGATGCCAAATTAACTCAAACGTAGTACCATTGCTGGATCAGAAGGGCGTGAAAATGTCAAATGTTATTTTGAAGAAACCACTTTTCGTCAGTATTTTCATAATTCCAAATTGCAACACAATCGACCATTGAGAGAACACGAATGAAGAATTCAGAAGAAGAAATACGAAATCATAAATTCAAAACCCCTAAAAGGTCTGGAATGACTGGGCCAATGTCGAAATTACAGACCCCAAAAATGCCTTGAATCTGGAGCCAAAAGCGTCTCAATCAGACATTAGTTTTTCCAGTGCAGCCCTTAAACTGCAGACGGGGCATCCGTCCGGAAACCAATGACTCAAACCTGAGGATTCAATGTACTTCACTCCTCAACCTTCAGCAGAACCTCCCTCGAGTCCCCGTCCTGCTCGATTTCCCGCCGTTCATCCTCCAAAGCTCCGTCATCCTTCCCCACCTCCACATCATTCATGTTCTCCAACTCCGGCTCCTCCAGCAATGCATCATCCGCGATACATTCCTCCGAAACATTAGCATCATGAACTTCCGTCTCCTCAATCTCCACAACGTGACTGGAATCCGTAACACTCGATCTTCGTTCCTCCTTCTCCAATGATAAACTAGTGAAGTACTTCAATTCATATTCAGGTCCGCAGCCTTCAACAACAACTGGTGTGTTGAGTGAGTGTCTGCTGGCCTGTTGAGAGTCCCTCCTGTGGCGATCAAAAGATCTCCTCCGGTTATCATCGGACTTTGAGTGATTAAGCTTCTGCCGCTGTCGTCTACTCTCACCGGTATTTGCCCTGGACCTCACTTCAGCCTCATCCATGTACCTGTAAATTCATCGTCAAGACAGAATTAGATACACCGAGAAGTTTGGTGATTGATTTATCGTTGAGTGTAACTAGCCTGTAGTCAGCCCTACGGAAGTCCGGGCTCCGCCGGAACTCGAGGCTGGCTTTTCTACTTGATGACCTGTCGAACGACATGTTACGGAAATTCGGGGACGAGGTTTTACGGAAGTCCCTGGGCGAACTGCCGCGACTCAGGATACCCATGGCACCGTATTCATCCGTCAATCGGAGGTCTATTGAGGCTCTTTTGCGGGGCACAAAGTCGGGTGGATATCGGCTGTAAGCTCCCATTGGGCTGGCTATTGAATCTGGATAAATTATGCGTACGAGTTAGTACAGGGGATTCTGGGAATAGGGACATTTACTGAATTTTTTTCGTTTTATTCGACTGTTCATGTCAAATTATTGTTAAATTCGAAGTAACACATTGAAAATTGTTTCTTTATTGATAACGGAAATGATTCATAAATAATAATTTGAGACATTATCATCGAAACTTATTGAAGTGTACACTGACAGAACAAAATAGTTTTATCATGAAAATTTTATTTAAACCAACTATCATTTGGTTGGTAATTTCCAAATAAACAGAAGTTTATTTCTCTATATTATAAAAATCCAAATCGACTTCTGGTGATAAAAATTTGGTACTCGAAATTAAGACTGGGAAATTAAGGGTCACAAGGGGCAAGAGGGCCGGAATAAGGGTTATGAGGATCAAAAAAAGGGTCATGAGGGTTAGTGTAAGGGCTACTAGTGTCAGAATGAGGGTCACGAGGGTCGAATTAAGGTTCACAAGGGTCAGATTAAGGGTCTAAATAAGTGTCACAAGGATCAGATTAAGATTGACCTTTTTTAGTCATAAGGGTCAGAATAAGGACCACAAGTGGTAGAATGAGGGTCACGAGGATCAGAATAAGTGTAACAAGGGGCAGATTAAGGTTCACAAGGGTCAGATTAAAGGTTGCAAGATTAAGGGTCACAAGGGTCAGATTACGGGTCTAAGTGAGGGTCACAAGGATCATATTAAGGGTCACAAGGGTCATTAAGGGCCGTAAGGGTCCAAATAAGGGACATAGGGGTCAAAAACCGAAGGTCATTAACTCAAGGTCACCAGGGTTAAAATAAGATTTACGAGGGTTATAATGAGGGTCAGATTAAGAATCCTAATGAGGGTCACAAGGATCAGATTAAGGACCACAAAAGTTTTCTCTCCATAAAAAAAATTGTACGAAATATAGAGATGTTTTATCTCGAGAGCTTTCTACGTAATAACTGAACTGAAGAGCGATTGAAATATCCGTGGCTTGATTACGAGTCTGTCAAAATTGAGTTTCAATAATAGAGAGGGTTTTATTATTAAAGGGGTCAGGCGGTTTTCAATCCGGGCTACAAAATCGATCATCTGGACGAATTCGAGTGGCGTCATGAGTTATGGAGTCGGATGTATTCTTGGGAGGACAAGGTGGAATTTCGGGGGACGACAGGGTCAATTGAGTATCCAGAATCACAGGGGAGATCATTTATTAAGTGGTGCATGTCATTCGCAAGGTGATCAGTCTTGTTTGATGAATAATGAACAGATTTGGTGGGCGCACATCGTAAATCATTCCTTGGGAGATTCCGCTGATGGTCATTAGTATTGAAATCTGTCGGTGGAACCTGCCATTCACTATTAGAATTTTATTCTGAAATTTCCGGTGCAATTTTTGGCAGTTTTGATCAAGTAACAGTTTCACTGAAATTTCACGGACTTTTTTAACAGAAAATTCACAATTTGTTTTATACTCAATTCATTATTTATCTTTTGGATCATTCCTATTGATTTTTTTCTCATTCCGAATCATCACTATAAGTTTCCCTTCTTTTATAATTTTTCGTTTTTTCGTAGAAACTTCATCAGCTATATTTATAGCTATCTCTCTGTATTATAAAAATTTTAATTGACGTCTGGTGAGAAAATTCGGTACTCGAAATTAAGACTCCAAAATTAAGGGTCACAACAAAGGTCACGAGGTCACGAGGGTCATAAGGGCCATAAGGGTCATATGGATGTGAAAAATGAGAAAAAATGACAAATGTAGAGTGTTATACCTTACCTGTCACGAATATAGAACCTAAACGTACCCAAAGAAATAGGGGAGTGAGCAAATTGCTTAAAAAATATTAATAAGAGTATATCTAGTACTATTCTACGTAAATAAATAAATGGTCAAGTCTCATGACAAAAGACGTTAGTTGAAACCTTTTGTAAATAATCATTCTATCAATTTTTTTTTCTATAGAATACGAACATCTGAACATACTCAAGAAAAGTGGGGGTGGGGAGGGGGCGAGCGAAGCGAGCGAGGGGAGGGCGTGGCCCGCCCGGGATTGGTGAGCGAAGCGAGCAGGGAGTGGGGCTCCCTAGTAGTTCTACATACCTATAGTTATATATAACTATTTCTAACAACAGTCAATGCTATAGTAATACCTACAGACAGTTAAATTATAGGTGAATAAATTGGTGACATAATGTTACCTGGATTTTTCAAAAAGAAAAACATGATAAATTATTGCAAATTCCTTACCCGAATGATGTTGTCTCCTCGACAGAATTCTCTTAGCTTCTTCATCCTCGACGTCCTCGATTTTCCCCTGCCGAAGGAGCTGATGGCGTTTGGCAGTGTCCGATCTGTCCTTAATCTTGAGCGTAACCGGTCCTTTATTTGGTATATAGAGGTCCATCGCCATGGACACTTGACTGCCGTTCATCTTATTATTATCCAAGCTCTCCCGACTGACCCTCGGAGGACTGTACCCAGGATTATCCACGGAAACCGCGTGCCTCTGCAGAAGCTCGGGATTTAGTAACGCGCATGCCGCGAATTTCGATGTTTTCCGTCTCGACGGAGACTTCTTCATGACTAATGACGGTGCACTAGGACTCTTCTTAATCGGATGCTCCGGCACTCCCTTGTCCCCGAGGTTCTTCGAGAACCTCACGAACTCCGCGGTGAGGGCTTTACGGGATATCTCGTGGGTACTCGGGCTCGGGGTCCTGTTCACGCGAAAGAGACCCAATTGGTGGTCCCACTTTGTTGTTTGACTCGAGGTTGACCGACGCGGCCGCTGGTGGCGCGCGTACTTGAGCGTCGAGCCCTGGTTGAAGCGAAATCGCGCCGGCACGACTTTTGCCGCGCTATCGCGCGCCTCGAAGGTCATCACACATGCTGCCACTACGATGAAACCTGTTGGATTTTTTTATCAGTGATTTTATCGACAAATGAGGATGACGACGTGAGAAACTCGATGTAGGTGCGGGCACTGAGACCGAAACCTTACATTTGCATTCGTTGGGTAGTAGAAAATCGTGAAATTGAGGCTTTCCATTCCTTCGGACTAATTTATAAGTTTTAATGGTCGCGGGCTATTGGAGGGAGATTTGTCATGCATTGGAGATCGATTATATGTGTCTAAACAGGAATAATTAGTGCAAAAAATTAATTATTTATAGTTCATTTGCCCCGCAGACGCTTGAAGTGTTGAAAATAGTCCAGGGCCTCCAATTTTTTAGTTACAGAGAGCTTTTACAAATATTATTTTCGAATTTTTTATGTTAAACAAAATTTGTTCAAAATTTTTCAAAAGTTTGAAAAAAAACCTCTGTAGCTCAAAAATTGCAGCAATAAACAATTAATTGTTTGCACTAATTATTCGTTTTCAGACATATGTAATCGATCTTCAATGTATGAAAAATGTCACTCATGGTAGACTCCCCTTAAAGATTTTTATTTGGGAAATATACGAAATTCACTTGTAATTCGCACAAAATAGCTCTAATTGAACTGTACGTGCCGGGGCTTATGTTCGATTATTTGTATATGTGGGAGGAGTTCAAATTGACGGGAAACGTTATCTCCTTTATCTATCGCTTGAAATAATTGATGAAACGAAGATAAAAAATTGTTGCGTGTGGCGACACTTATTCATTCTTTCTTAATTAATATTTTATCATTTCTTCCGCTGAACTTTTTGAAATAAAATACTATTAATAACAACAATATTAGCAACACCGAGTAATTAATTCACAAGAGCAACACTAACTTCAGAGAAGTTCAGAGGCAACAAACTGAATGCATATCTGATGGAATGCATTCTAAAGTGAAAAATAAACACTAATAACAATACAACTGCACAACAATAATTGAACATTATAAAATAATAATAATAAATTATCAATTCCAAAAAGTTTGAGGAAAGAATAAAAATAATTCTGTCAATAATATTAATAATGAAAATAACAATAATAATTGCTATTATTATATACTATTAATAATTATTTTTAATTCTCGCCTTAAATTTTTTTCAATAAAGTCTCTCAACTAAACTTGTCAAAATGATTTTTTTTAATTATGAAAATCAATTCTAAATTATTAAAAACAATTTTTATTATGAATAATACTCGCGGCGGCTAGTGTAGTGCCTTAACGAGAGCCCAAGAGACGCGAGCCTCCATAGCTCAGGGGTTAGAGCACTGGTCTTGTAAACCAGGGGTCGAGAGTTCAAATCTCTCTGGGGGCAAATTTTTTTTTCTTCCATTTATCCTCTGTATCTCGACCTACTCCACATTGTAAACGTTAAATGACCAAAAGGACCAACGTGTGTCCTCGAAATGCCTTTTCAAATATTTTTTTATTCATCGCCCATATATTCACCGGCATATCACGCGATTGTGCGGATGCCGACGGGAGATGCTGAGTCGAATGCGCCTGGTATAACTGTTGGCAAAGTGGGGGATCGATTATTTGCCAGCGTCCCACTTTCACAAGAGTCCTTGCTATACGGCTTATTTTCTCATTCTCTGTATTTTTGACATTTCGCGAGGGGGGGGGGATGCACCAGACTGGCAATTTGATTTTATTTTTGGAAAAAAAATGGGTGACGAGTGCGTAGTTGTCAGGAGATTGAGGGCCATTGTTTCGTTGCAATTAGTGAGGATGTTTAATTGGTAAAAGTCACCGGTTTTTTTTAATGGCGTTTTCAATTAATTAAGAATGGAGAAAGGGGGGAGTGAAAAATTCACGAGGCATTTTCCGCGGCACAATGTCGCACAAGTGGAGGGATAATTTTAATTACTGTTTTTTTTAAATTAAAATTGAGTCACCTCCCACACCCATGACGATTGGCCCGGCGTAGCTCAGATTATTGAGGTGAAATCCCCTCGATTCATTCTTCACTTTAACGGTGATATTCCCTCTAATCTCCTGTGCCACGGACAACTGGTCAGCGTAGTAGCCTGGAATAATCGTATCATTGGCAATGATAATGCAATCCGCTTGGTTAATTGTCTGGTTTGAATTTCGATTATCTTTGGATGGGAATTAATATTGGGAAATTGATCATAGGTTGGGCGTTATAATGTGATAAATGGGGCTCACCTATCGTAGCCATGCAGGCACCCAATAGCATCAGTAGGAGGCCTATTCCCAGGGCTTTGCAGGCGTGCCACAGGCATCGCGTTGTTACTTTTCCCTTTACCACCTTGAGGAAATTAGGATTTAACATATTTTTATATTCACTGCGAATACTAGTGTCTTCAGGACGTCTTAAATTATTATTATTATTTATTTTTGTGTACGGGATACATAGCCGCATTGCAGAGGGGAAGTGATATACACATCATGTACAATAAGTGTAAATATAAATGCAGTTTTAACATTTGGAATGTGAATATGAATATAAATATGAATATGAATAAATTTTTTACGATTCCAAAAAAATTATTTTTATGGTGCAAAATTGATTGTTTATAAATTATTTATAGGAAATGCTCGTAATTTTCAAAAATTGCAATTTTTAAGGTTTATAATTTTTTTTCAGATTTTTTAAATTTTTCCAACGGTTCAATATCGAGATTCAAATTTAAACCTGCAAAATTTAAATAATAAAATCATTGACCGGAAACTTAGGGTCAAATGGGGTTAAAATGAAAGCTCTGATGTTCGACTGCAAAAGTAGACAAGCATTTTACTGGAGAAAAAATATTCAAAAGTACTTGGATATGCTTAAATATTATTCTAAGGAAAAATACTTTTCATCGCGATTTTTTATCACCAAAATTAGTGTATCGTTATATCTCTTTATGAAAAAATGAATGAAATATTTGGAAAAACAAATGAAACATCAGAACTTTGAATGCAAAAATCCTCGAGTAAAATAGCTAGAATGCATGTCTGAATGTCTTAATTCGAGACACTAGCATGTCCAATATTATTATTTATTTACGTAAGAAAATGAATAAATAAAATATAAAAATGAAAATAAAAAAACAACAAATTTGAATCGAATAAAGCTCTTCATTCAAACTTTATCCCTTCATTTCAATGAAATTTTTTAATTATATGGCCCAAATAATTGTAAAAAACTCCACATTCAATGTGAATAAAAATAAATATTAGTTTTAGTTCACGAATTTAGTTCAATGTTCATGAATATTAACCCGATATGGATATGAATAATCAATACTCCCAATATTCATAGAGAAAATTAATTGAACACTAATGATGCATCATTAAGCGATGCGAAGAGTTCTCCCATTCTTCTCGAATAATTGAAGCACGAGAAGTTCTTCCAAGTAAAAAAAAATGATGTTGAGAACGAAACCTTTGCCTTCTATTTTCATCCCGTAAACTTGGAAAGCTGTGTCACAACAACTTTCGGGAGTTTCAACGGCTCTTCAGGGTCAGTAAAGATCCTGTAAATGCGGAACACTGGAGGAACTTTTAATTGGCCCTCGGGGCTATCCTCCACTCGCAACATTTACAAGTTTACCTCAGTTTTTTGTGCCACTGGAAAATTTTATTAGAGGAATGAAACCGTGTAATGTACGGGAAAAAAAGGGTATGCGGAAAACTTTGTACATTAAATATTTGGATGTGCGAGTGATGAGATTTAATAAATTAAATGGGCGAGGCTGTCGGGAAAAATGTTGAGATATTTTTTGTGGTTAAACATTAATTACGAGCATTAGGAATTTTAGTAAAGAATAATTAAATTTGGCAATGAATTATTATTTTCTAAATATTCTCTTGTTATAAATAAAATATAACAAGAATAATGATTATTATTATCAATAATTATGTCTGTTCAAGCTTTTGGAAAAATTATTTTTAGGGGGAAAAGTTAATTGTTCATAAATTGTTCATCAATAATTCGCATTTTTCAATTATTTTATGAATTTTCTTATGAACAAATCTTCTGATTTTTTTTTAATGTTTGAATGTTTTAAAATTGAAACAAAAAAAATTATTAGAAAATTGTTTCGTTGAATATTAGATCCTCAAGTATTCTTTAGTAGAAAATAATGGCAATGATAAAACATTTTAAAACATAATAAAAAATACACATCATTATTCAACAAATTGGTTGTAAATTATTCATAAAAATTTTTAATTCTGGATATGGTTATTATGTTTGAAAAATAAAATTTAAAAAACTATTACAACATAATCATGATAAATCATTTTTTGAAAATGATAGAAAGAATTCAGATTATTATTGTAACGACGAGTCATCTTGACCCATTAAAAATCGTTTCCATAAAGCCCTAATCACGAAACCGTGAAGACACTCATCCGGCAGAGACCCGAGATCTCCACAGCAAATAGAAATCCCCCTAATGGTCCACCCCTTAATTTCATTAATCCGGATTTACCTGAACGTTCCAGTGAGCACCAGGTCCGCAAGCTCGCCTCTGTGTCCCTTGCCAATGAACGCTCCCCTGCGGCATCCTGCACTTCTGAAACTTTGAGTAGCTCTCTGACTTTGAATAAGTCGAGTGCAAAGCACACTGGCGTGCGTCCGATTACAACCCCGGGAGGATTATCAGTGAGGATCATCATAAAGAAATATTTCGACGTGAATGGAGAGGGCCTGGTCGTTACCATAAAGATTGATAAATCATGAAGGATTAAAAGCATTTACGAAGTTCTGCACTGAGAAAAAATTTGCTCTGCCGAAAAATCATACTTTCTGATTATGAAATTATGTCGATTATGAAATTGACTATTTTATTTTATCTTCTTTCCATTTCCGTCTTCACAATTAGATGAATTTAATTTTATCCATTCCTATGCTTATTATAGATATTTTTTCCTTTAATTCACAAATTACAACATTGAATGAAAACGAATCATGTTAGCGATCAATAAAAAGTGTTTTTTCGTGATCAAAACAAACACACAAAACACAAATCACTCGAAATCTCATTCGGGTGATAAAAAAATCTCTCTTATAGCCTTGAAAATTTAAAAAATCTGCTTTTCCCTTCATATGGTATAAGGATATCGGTACTCCTCATTCCTACGATCGGATTCCAATTATTATTATGAAAAGAAAAGAAAAAAAGAATCGGAAAGAGATAATCGGCTAGAAAATGGATTTGTTTTCTTGTTTTATGTCGCAGGGAACTTTGAATCAATTTTTTTCCTCAAGTATTAGAGGGATATCAATATTTCATCGGAAAGAAATTTTTAAAAAGCAAAAAAGTGGACGGGAAGACTTAAAAAATTAATTTTTCAATGTCTGGTAATTTTCAAAATCGATTTGATTTTCGAATAGTAAAAGAATACCCCTAAATTCGATTCCTATCCTTGTCCCTTGATAGAATAAATAGAATGACATAAATGGCAATGAATTGAAAAAATCACGAATTGAAGACTGAAAATTTTTAAAAAGGTATGTGCGATCGGTAAGAGAATGGCAGAATTTTTTTTTCATTTGTGTCGGTGGAAATTTTGAATCACTATTTTTTAGTCGAATATGGACGGGATATAAATGTTTTTGAATTTTGTCATCTAATTTCAACGAGAAGAAATGAAAAAAATGCAAAAAAACGTAGAGGATAAGAAATAAAAAAATTAATTTTTCAGTGTCTCCATAAAGTTGGAAAAACCGATATACTATTCGAACAATGAAATACATTCGATTCCTATCGTACCCATAAATTCAGAATCAGGGCGAATGGGTGGAGAGACGAAGGACGAGATGAAATTAAATATAGGGGCGGGTGGGGTAAAAGGGGCACTTTGGACTTTTTTTAATTATTCATAACTCAGAAACAAATTGATCAATTGAGCTCAGTTTAGGCTCGTTACAAAGGGAAAGAATTGTTCTTTGTATTGAAAAAAAAATTGTTAAATTTTATCAACATTTCAACCGCTCATTAGCATTTTTAAAAAAGTCAAAAGGGTCCGAGTTAACCTAACCTCCCCTATCTGGATTTTTGAGAGGGAGGGAGGGTGGACCGGGACATCCAAGTTTAGAATATCAAATTACGATGAATTTCGCATGTTTAAGAATTAGTAATTATAATGATAATAACGCAAACACCTAAATTTCGTGGTATTGTTCTCAAACATCGGGGAATGAGTGCCTTTCGAACGGTCTGGAGGAGAATCAGGGCGAATGGGTGGAGAGACGAAGGACGAGATGAAATTAAATATAGGGGCGGGTGGGGTAAAACGGGCACTTTGGACTTTTTTTAAAATGTTAATGAGCGGTTGAAATGTTGATGAAATTTAACAATTTTTTTTCTCAATACAAAGAACAATTCTTTCCCTTTGTAACGAGCCTAAACTGAGCTCAATTGATCAATTTGTTTCTGAGTTATGAATAATTAAAAAAAGTCCAAAGTGCCCCTTTTACCCCACCCGCCCCTATATTTAATTTCATCTCGTCCTTCGTCTCTCCACCCATTCGCCCTGATTCTCCTCCAGACCGTTCAAAAGGCACTCATTCCCCGATGTTTGAGCACAATACTACGAAATTTAGGTGTTTGCATGTCCGTGTGGATTTCCCTGGCATATTGTTACCTCGCGTACATCGATAGGGGTTGACACACCGACACATTTTATGTGAAAACACGCGCCAAAGGATATTAGACTTGGGTCTGGCTATTGTACACCTGAGGGAGAGACATGAGCGTGAAACAATTCCCACCCCCTCGCCCACCCCAGAAGTCTATTGTCACCGAGGCTGTTTGTCATGCCTGCTGCTAGCGGGCGAACACGCGGTCAGAGGAATCAAGATGATGTGAAATCTCACTCTTATCGATTCCACCCTATTCAATGTCCCTCCCAGATGCTGAGGCCTGATTTCTCGTCGTCTCTTTTTATTTTTAAACTTCCGTTTTATGCTCACGAATTGATTATTCAACGGGCTGAGGAGGGAGTGGGGAATTTAAACTGTTGGAAATAAAATAGGTGAGTGATTCTGCTCAATTTTCCACCGGTGGTTGCAGTCGGGTAGAAATCAATTCAAATGGTTTTGGGGAGATGCGAATGGAAATTAGGGACCTCCCGAGGGGGCAAGAATAATGGCTTTACTATTTGAATGCAGATTTAATGGGGGTTACAGTGATGTCTGAACACTGATCGTGGTTTTTTAGTTTTAATGAGTTTCTTGCTATTTATTTGGGTTGGAATGTTGAGGGGATTTTATTCTGCCATGAATTTGGGGTCCAGGGCATTTGGGAATTGGGTTTGATTGGGGTTTTATCAAAATCATTTGGAGAATACGATTTTTTATGTTTATTTATTGATGAATAAATGGAAATAAATAAATTGAGAAATTGAGAAATTCTAGGTGAAAGAAGGATTTCGTTGTTCGTGGGATGAATAAAAATAATTGTAGATTGTTTTATTATTGTGTTTTTATAAAAATAAATGGGAGAATCCTCTTTTTAATTTCTTTATTCATGAATAAATATAGCTAACAAAATTTAAAAATCAATGAATGTCTCAATTAATTGCAGGGAAAGGAAGTTTCAGAATATTGAAAACGGGATTTCATCATTCGTTGCATATTTATTTGCATTTTAATGTACCGTGAATTTTATTCGTTCGTGAATTGTGTATTGAATTCCGATTCAAGAGAATTTCTGATTAAAGTTTTGAAACTCTCGATGATTGTGGTTTTATCAAAATAAATGGGAGAATATGATTTTTTTATTGTTTATTGATGAATAAATAGAACGAAGTGAATTGAGAAATTAATGAATGTTTCAATTAAACACAGAAAGGAACAGTTTCTGAGTGGTGAATGAAGGATTTCATGACTCGTAACATATTTACTTGCATTTTAATGTTCCGTGAAGTTTGTTCTATGGTTATTTTGGCTTTTAGGTCATTTGTGAAGGTTATTCTTCCATCAAATAGCATTGTCTCTTGTTTTAGAAATATTTTTAATTTGAAATGAGTTCTCTTCCCTCATATTTTATGAATATTGCGTAAGTTCTCAATATTCATTCAAGAAAGCTTCAAACGTGAATCAATCGAATCTTTAGTGATTGAATTTATGTATTTGCTGTCGTTAATATTGGAAAAAAAATCAAATTTCTTAGACAGTTTACTAGTAATTATTGAGAAATCGACATTGGATTTAATTTAGGGAGAAAAAAATCTAGGTAATTCCGAATTCAATTGTAAATTCCATCAAATTCTGAATTTTTTCTGAAAATTCTTCAATTTACTTGGAATTTCTCATTTTACTTAAATTAATTGAAAATTCAAAACAGTATTTATCTTAATTTCCTGTCCTAATTAACTTTTATACAATAATTGAACGAAAACTCACGACTTTCATTGATTTGTTCCTGAAATTATAAATTTTCAGTGAGAAAATTCCTTGAAATTTCAGTGAAACAAAATCGTAAAAATTTCCAAAAAACGTCCCCCCAAAATATTTTGCAGCAGATAGCCGAAAATTTGTCAATATACTTAAATTTCCAATCAAAACACAGATATTCAGTACCAAATTATTACAAATTATTGTAAATTTTCAATTAATTAAAAATTTAAAAAAGTATTTTCTTCAATTCCCTATCCTAATGGTCTTCTATACAGTCGCGGACTTAAGTTCGTGAACAGCCTGCACTTGCATCCTATGTGTTTTGTTCATGAACTTTAGTACCCGACTGTACACTAATTCAACAAAAAATTACGATTTTCATTGATTTGTTCCCGAAATTACAAATTATTAATGACAAAATTCCTTGAAAATTCAGCGGAACCACAAACTGCATAAAAATTTCCAAAAACCATTCTGCCGAAATCTTTTTAGTACCAGTAAAAATTTTAATCCTGCAGTAACAACTATCCGCCGTTCTCCGTGATTTTATCTAATGTGTAACCCCTAAACAATTTACCCCGCTCCACCCTTCATTTCCCCGATAAACTCACTTTCTAGCCGCCCTTGATCGCTGTCCCAACACCCGCGTGTCACAGCATCATCATAATCACGGGTCTAGCCATATCCCTCAGGTGATTAATTAGACGATACCCTCCGATCCACTCAGTTGCACATCCGCTGGCACATCACCCCAGTGATGTTCGATCTCCCCCGTTGGCTGCATTTTTTATCCTCAAAACACAAAGCGTCAAAGGAGTCCATAATACTGATCACCAGAAGTGCCCCATTCGGGTAAAAAATCACTTGTATATTCACTCGCAGGGCGGCGGTCGAGCCGCGGAATTCCGTTAAAGATATTCTCTTTAATGAAGACCACGGGAAAGCCCTGGCCCCGGTATTTTCATAATAGAGGGGCTAGCCGCAAGTCCCGGCGGCCGACGAAGCCCTCGTGAAAGCTCGCTAGTGCTAATCATAATTTATTCCGCGCATTAATCCCGGATGATTCAACGAGATTAAGTGATTCACCACGAGGAGTTGATCCGATCGAATCCAATCGATCTGTCACTCGTCCGATCTCGGCAAAATCAGCATCACATCAGCAGACAGTCTCGCGGGACAAAGATCACTCTGTTATGTACAAAATAAACTTCACATGCACAGTATCACTTGGCATCGCTCATCTCCTTTAACTCCGCCGCACTATTTCGGTTGATTGGGGGATGATGCCATGTCATCTGGGTGTTGATGTCCGTGGAGATGGAGATGGGGGGCTGGAATTGCAGCGCGAGGCGACTTATTATTGGGGATGTGGAAGCAGAGGTCCTAGGGAGTGTCTCCAGCATCACCTGTTGGTTCGTGATTCCCGGTCGTAGCGACGCCGACCTTTCACTCGTACAATTCGCCACCTGTCTCGCTCCGGTGGAAGCTGCTCTGTAGCATCCAGCGCCAGTGCGCAAGCTCAATCCCCCAAATCAATGTGTTATATCGTTTGTTATTTTTCACTCACGGGTGTTGCGGAGGCATTGAAATGTTTCAATTTCGGGGCTTTTGGAGTTTTCGGTATTCGAAGTATGCGAAGATGCACGAACGAAAAAATTTAACAGAAAAACCTATCGAATTCGTTAGAAAATTCTGTTGAACTGTTCTATTAGTTTTTGGCCGATTCTATTGAAATGTTCAATAGAAAATATTCAGTAGGAAAAGTCAATAGAATTCAATTTTTCTATATAACTTATTCTATTGAGATATTTTCTATAGTATTTCCTCGGCTCAAATTTTCTAAGTTTTTTCGTCTGATTTTCTTGATGAGAAGAGGAGAAAAATAGAGTGAAAAAAACTTAGAAAATTTGAGTCGAGCAAATTCTATAGAAAATATATGAAGGGAATGAGTTATATAGAAAAATCGAATTCTGTTGACTTTTTCTATTTAATGTTTTCTATTGAACATGTAAATAGAATCAGCCAAAAACTGATAGAAAGTTTAATAGAAATTCAATAGAATTTTCTGACGAATTCGATAGATTTTTCGATTAAATTTTTTCGTGCGTGTGAAGATAAGGGGAGAAAATGAATATTGAAAATGGTGATGGATGTTGGGGGATATTATCGAGCGGAATGGAATCGTGGGAATGATGGGGTTGTAATGAAAATTGGTCTTGTGTTTAAAGTTTGAGAGAACAACCTAGCGAAGTCGGTAGACAATTCTACTGCATTTCGATTGAATATGTCTATTAGTTGCCGATTCTATTGACATGTTCAGTAGAAAATATTCTACAGAAAACGTCAATAGTCAATACTCAAATTTTCTAAGCTTTGTTGTTTGATTTTCGCGATGAAAAAAAAATTGAGTCGAGCAAATTCGATCGAAAATATCTCAGAGATTAAGGTATCAAAGTTTCACAAAAGAGTAGGTTGAATGGAAGAATCGAATTCTATAAACTTTTTCTATAGAATATTTTCTGTTGAACGTTTGAATAGAATCGGTCACAAATTAGTAGAAAGGTTAATTGAAATCCAATAGAATTGTTTGGCGAATCCGCCATGATTTTTTACTAAATTTTTTCGCGCGTGAAAGGTTGACCTCGCAGCGCGGGGAAAACTATAAACTATAACTCTTCATGTATTGTAATGTTTACAATCGCTCATTTTTTACGATCAGGTTTATTTTAATTGAATAAATGGATTTATTGAAACTGCTTGTAATAAAACTTTCAATTAACTTTAAGCTCGATTTTTATTTGTGACTTTGTTCGTGTCAAATGAAAAATTTTTTCGCTTTCGGGGGTTTTCGATTTTGTTCGAGTATTCGAAGATACATGGAGGAAAATAAATATTATAACCGTAGAAATGAAGTTGAAGTTGAAGAATTTTTAGTGATGGCCCAACTCAACAAATAATTCTTTAACTTCATCTTCACTTCTACGTTTATAAAATTGCTGAAGACCGCTCAAGCCAAGCGATTGTCATCTGAATTTTGAAAATAATTACAACGGTCAAATAAACTTATTCTGAAAATAAATATTAAAAATATTTCTGAATGAATGGGGAAAATTATCAGCTGGAATGTAATTGTGGTAATAATGTGGACGCAGTGAAAAAAAAAATGAATTGGTCTTTGATGTCTTGAATTTTTTTTCCCAGTGCTGGGAAATATTACAACTCTTCGTATTGCCATTTTTACTGCCGCTTATTTTTACCCTCACGTTCATTTAAATTGAATGAATGAATTAATTACGAAATATGTCTTAATTGTTTCTTTCACTCTTCAACACAAAAATGAAGTTGTTTTTTTAAATTCCATACCGCATTGTATTTCATACTTTTAAACAATATATGTAAACAATTTGAAGTTTACTGGGGGCACAAAAAATGAAGCCATCAAATGTGTTCAAACGGCTCGTGTAAAATCGATAGAAAGAAGATAAAAAGTGACTTCGAAAAACACACGTGTTTCCAAAGCTTCCACGTCTTTCAATCCAATAGATAATAGAAAAACGTGTGTTTGTCACCATGTACGCGCGACTGGAGAACAGCTACTCAAATAAGGGAAGTCGTTAACACGCGTCACCCTATCTACCCAAATCGACTCAATTAAGAGGATTTAGTTCTACGCAATTGCGTGATTTTGAATCCGTCGTAGAAATTTTCCCGAGATCGTGCTATTTGCACAAATGTGGCTACGTCAATAGTAAGACTACTATTCACCGGAATTTCATATAAATTGACACCGGGATTGGTTCAACCATCAGTCAATGGTTAATCACCGAATAGAGGATCCCAAGTAGTAGACAAAGATGGTTTTCAAAGTACTGTGCCTTACACTTCTCGCCTGCACTCTTGCCCAGGCTGCGCCAAAGCGCGACGGGAGCGTAAGACCATTTTAAATATTTTCTACCGAATTTTTTTATGTCAATTTGACTATTTTCTCATACATTGTTAAAAAATTTTGGCGGAAATTTCCGGTACACTGTTTGTAAATTTTTATCGAATTTAATTACCGCACTGATAGACTGATTAATTTATTCCGAACGAGATTCGTTAATTATTAACGAATGGTAGAGTTGAATATCACCAAATGAATATTCGTTAACTCCTCAAATGTGTATTTGTTAATTATTAACGAATAAACATTTGGTGAGACCGAATAGACCCTCGTCTCAAACCAAATCCTTTCGTTAAGAATAACTAATCCTTTCTACAAGTGCACTGATTCAAGGAGTTTCGTAATTTTTATTAAATTTTTTGCATGTTCTGATTTCCTCTCCAGATCTTTATCTTTGACTTTGGCGAATTCTTGGAACGAACCGACGACGCTGTCTCCAAGATTTACAATGAGAACACAAAGATTTTCCAAGACAAAATCACTAGAATTCGCGACGCTGTCAAAGAAGGCGTGAGCGCGACTGGAACAGTCATCAAGGCTGATGCGGAGCTCCTCGCAACACCTTTTCGATACGGAAAGAAAGTTTTGGAGAACGGTGTGGACATCACTGATATCAACGATATCAAAAGGTAAGGAAATTAAGTGATCAATAGTTTTGTAATTGAACTGAATTATCTTGGAAATTCCGTTGGAAAAGGCTTCTTTACACGGAGAGAAATATTCAGTAAAAATTACGGAACAATTCACGTAAGCCGCAATGGGGAATCGTTTTCCGGCAATTTTTATAGGAATGAGAGAGAAGAAATCTGAAACGTTCAGTGAATTTTCAGGTTCATCACTGAACAAAGTACGTAAGTCACGTAATTTTTCCCGAAGAAGATCTTACAGAAACTTGCCGATTAATTATGCCTTCAAAATCAAAAATTCTTGAACGTTCAACAATTTTTATGAAGCTGGTGAGTTATTTCTACGTTCCGTTCCGTAAAATTTCTCAATCGTTGATGGAAAAATTACGGAACGACTTGTTGTCCCCACAGCGGTGAGTCATCAGACTAGTAGTTAATTTTTCCGGAACAAATCGTAGAATTTACGTGGCGATTCGTACAATTTCAGTTCCGACTCACACTTTTTATTGAATTTTACTTCGCTCGCGGATCACGTTTCGAAACGTAATTTTTACGTTTCTTTTCTGGTAATTTTTATTGAATTTTTCTCTCCGTGTAGTTCTTTGTGAAGAGCCAAACTACTAAATTCTTTTCATTGAACTCTGCAGCAAAACCGGAGAGGCTTTCTCCGAGGTTATCGATGAGAATGCAGACATCCTCACCGACAAATTTGAAAAAGTAGGCAAAGCTGCGGAGGCCGGTTATGATGCCGCTGTGAAAAATGTCAAAGCCAATGTGGAACTTATCAAAACACCCGTCAGATTTATATCTGAAGTAACCAAGGGCAAGTCCCCCGATGACTCTGCTGACGCTGAGAACGAGGAGTTGGAAGACTAAACCAAATCAATGAATAATCTTGCTAATAATTGTAAAAGAAAGAAAGTGTTGTTTTGAAATGTATCCATTGATAAGACATATCAATAATTCAATGTGCCAATAAAGGAAATGATAAAATCATTCGGTAGTGTTCTATTTTGTATCAATTGGGGGGAAACTTCACCTTCGACCATAAGTGGTAAAAATTATGAATAATAAATAACTCAATAAATAAGAATAAAAGAACCAGTTAAACTCATAAAGATCA